TCTTTTATATATCTCTTTGTATGTCACCAACTACAGTTCTACATATTCTAATATTCATTATCATGTCAGTGTGATACAAAGTCTTTTAATTATTGGATGCATTGAAACAAACCCAGGTCCTACAAATAATATGAGGCTTAGTTCATTAAAAATAGCACACAACAATGTGTGCAGTTTATTACCAAAACTTGATATTATTAATGCAGAACTATCACATTTTGATATTATAACAATTAGTGAAACACATCTCGATGACAGCATAGAAAATGAGGTATTATTAATAAATGGATTTCATCCACCTATTCGTCTTGACAGAAATAGGTATGGAGGAGGAGTTGCAATGTATATATCCAATGAGCTTGAATATTATGAGCGTAAAGATCTGCATACTAATAATCTAGAAATTCTATGGTCAGAAGTACATGTTATTAAGAAAAAATTTCTTGTTGGTGTATTGTATAAGCCACCCGATTCATTAGCAGACTATTGGAACAGTTTTTTCTCCAACATTGACAAGGTTCAGGAATGTAATTTACCTATCATTCTATTAGGTGATTTTAATGCTAATTTTTTGTCTGATCAAAGTTCACAATTTAAACTTCTCTTACAAAGGTTTGGCCTCTCGAATTTGATACATGAACCTACCAATTTTACTCTAAGTTTAGGGCAATAGAATTCAATCCTAGTAAAACTGTTAATTTAGATTTTAGCAGGAAAAACTTTTGCCATCCAAAAATTAGATTTGGTGAAGATGGGCCTACTATTCAAAATGTTGAAACACATACTCATTTAGGGATAAGATTTCAGCAGGATGGTAATTGGAGATCCCACATACTTGATATTCATTCCAAAGCCTGTAATCGATTAAATATCTTAAGAATGTTAAAGCACACCCTTAAGCGGGATGCTTTGATAAAAATATATTTTGCTTTTATTCGTCCTGTTCTTGAATACTCAGACATTGTATGGGATAATTGTACTGATAGAGATGCAAAATTACTAGAAGATGTTCAAGTTGCAGCTGCACGAATAATAACAGGCTTAAAGACTAATTCATCAAGATCAAAACTTTATGAAGATCTTGGCTGGGATACACTTGAAATAAGAAGAAAAATACATAAACTAGTGTTATTTTATAAAATAGTGTATGGATTAGCTCCCCAGTATTTGCAAGATTTATTACAACAATGCATTTTACCACATAATTCTTATCCTTTAAGGAATCAGGGCAATCTTACATTTCATATTCCTCAAGCCAAAACGACTTCATTTATGAAAAGTTTTCTTCCTTCAACTATAAGACTTTGGAATGATTTACCCTTTAATATTCGAAACCTTTCTACACTTTCATCATTCAAGACTGCCATAAAGAATATATACTGCTTAAAACCTATGAAATATTACAACTATGGAAGTCGTAAAATGAATATATTACATTGCCAATTGCGAAATAATGCTAGTAATTTAAATGCTGATTTATTTAATCATTTTTTAAGGGAAGATCAAAATTGTGACATGTGCGGATATAGCTTTGAAACATCATTTCACTTTTTTATGAAATGTCCAAAATATTGTGTACAAAGGCAAAACCTTATGCAAAACTTTAATACTTTGCAATTACCAATGCCTATATCCTTACAACTTATTTTGAATGGAGACAATAATCTTACTTACAACCAAAATATTGCCGTATTTAAAATTGTTCAAGAATTTATTGCATCTACAAAGAGATTTGCATGATATTTATTCTTTTTTTTTTGATTTTGTCAAACCACAGAACCAACATTTATTTATGTGTTCTTATTAATTTCACATTTATACTTGTATTATTATAATTATCAGTCATATATGTTAAATGCAAACTTATATAGTATCATCAGCTCATTGATATTCTTTTTCCTTACTTATTTTGTCTTCTTTTTGTATGTATGTGTGTGTGTATATATATATATATATATATATATATATATATATATATATATATATATATATATATATATATATATATATATATATATATATATATATATATATATATATATATATATATATATATATATATATATATATATATATATGTATATATGTATGTATGTATGTATATATATATATATATATATATATATATATATATATATATATATATATATATATATATATATATATATATATATATATATATATATATATATATATATATATATATATATATATATATAAATCTCTTTAGAATATACACATGTATATATTTTTTCAATGTTATGTAATTAATATTTACTTGTAACATGTATGACTTGACCTGTATTGTGGAGAGGACTTATATAGGCAGTGCCTGCTGTCCAATCCAGTTATGTTTAATCATAATAAAATATTGTTTAAAATTAAGTTGTAAGTATGTCTTTGTATGATTATTTTATCTTGATAAATATAATTCAGATGTCGTTTCTTTATTCCTTTTATCTATGGGGTATTAACTCCGTGACTATAAAATTAGATATATGAAACTTTAATCATTTTAGATATGGTTTGGTTGAATTATATATTGTTTATACATGTACACTATTTCCAGATAGTGTTGAAATCTTTAAAATTTGCTCATGGTACGGCTTCCTGAGACGTCCAGTTTATTCTTCTTTAATTAGGCCCTTGAAAACAGGTTGTTTCTTTGCTTTCAAATACCTTTAAAAATTGTTGGGCCGTAGGAGGGCTCCTAATTTAGACTTTTACTCGGCACTTATGGCCATTGATCATTAAGCATCAGTAGGGGATCTTTTACGTGTCATCTACATGTCATCTACTCCGACACTGGACCTACGTTTTTACGGTCTTATTCGACTGACCGGTCTCCACGTCCCACATCGGGACCTGTGACTTAGAATAAGCTCCTGAATTACGTCGTGACTCCAAAACGCAAGACTGGAATTACTGCGCCACGCGAGGCCCTTGACATTTTGTAAGTACTGGAACATCATAGAAGGTTTGAAAAATGTCCGATGGTTCAGTATTTGCGAATCTTGTGTTTTTGTAAATATTCAATTTCAATAAATTTACGCTGGCCTGAGATATTTCACAAGTTCAAATGAATAATATTTGTGAATAAACATGATAAATTTACCATACATGTTGCTTCATTTGTATGATGTTAGGTTTAAAAATTGGGTTCTTTTGTTCTTTCTTATTATAAAGATATTATTCAATTTTTCAGAATGTATTTCCAAAACTGCTGTCAGAAAAAAAAAATAATTTACCTACCTACCGACCCAACTTGAGATTTTTGGGTCGGGTTAGGGGAAACAAAGATATTTTTAATGATGGCCCAAGGTTTGATTTTTTAACTGAAATGTGCTTTGTATTCAGAATATAGTCAGAATAACAAAAAGTAAATGATTTTTAGATGTGTACCTCTGGCTTTCAGAATGGCTTACTGCTTTGATGCCTCCTTCCCTGTCCGAAAATAAATACCTACTCTGTAACAGAAATAAACCGGAAATTAGTTGCAACTCTTCAGTATGGAATGAATATGATAAGTTTTATGAAGACTTCCTAGATGGAGGGGGAGGGGGGGGGGTTTGCATGTGCGCCCATCAAATCCACCTCCATGACACACATAAGTAATTTGCAAGTTTTTTCACACTTAAAAAATATCAATATGAAAAGTAAATTAAATTAACTGAAAAAATTTCTTTGCGCTTTAATCTTTGTTTCGGTGAAAATCTTTAAAAAGGGGAAGGGTAGCCCGGGTTATAAATAGTACAATCTTTTATGCTAAAACATTTGCTGTATGATATATTATCACTATGCTAAGTTTATATGGAAAATGGACCTGACATTTATTTTCTTTTTTTCTTTTCTGAGCACTTTCTATTTGTATATATAGTCTGTTCAAAGTCTTCGCAGATGACGTGTTATTAACTCAATAAAAAGCTCATAAATTAAATAAATCTATAATTTAACTTAATAGGATACAAGCAAGAATGATTTAAAACTTTATAGATTTTTTTTATAGAATTTTTAAAATGTATTAAATGAAATATATGGAGATAACGAACAGTATTCAAGCCCAAAAGTCCATTAAACAATACAAAATAGGAGCAGAGCAAACACGGACCTCTAAACATCAGAGGTGGGATCAGGTGCCATGGAGGAGTGAGCATCCCCTGCCGACCGGTCACACCCGCCGTATGCTCATTGTCATGGTCGGGAAATAACGGAAAAATCCGTCGACAATTCAGTGTGTAAATAATGGCCTAACAATTAGTATGAAAAACATCAGTCAGCATTTGACTCAGTGATAAATTGTATTTGCTGACAAGGTCATTGTATCGACCATAGAACTTACGAAATGATGACTTTAAACGAGACAGCTGATAAATAAATTATCAAGGTAAGAAAATTTATAAATAATTCTTTGAAATAAACATACTCGTTTACAGCTCTTGCTACATCCTCTCAGGCAGCTTCTCTCTCTACTTTTCCCCTCCCCGGTCCTATAAAATTTCCAAAAAGTTTCTGCTCATTTTTTGAAACAAATTCAATTAAAACACTCTGTTCTAAATCGCTCCAGGAAGGTTTCCTTTTTGGAGTGGATGCTGCGAGGGGAGTTTCGACAGCCCCGAATATTGTTTCGTTAATTTTGGAAGGGTTTTCAACTATGATATCATACAGTACATCCATTTCTTCCATATTGGTGAGACAGCCGTTCCGTAGTATGCAACGTCATCAAAACAAAAAATATTAGGTCACAATTATGTGAATTGGCATTATAGAGGAAGATTCAAAAGGAAAACAAAGAGATTATGTTTTTCATTATTTATTTTTCTTTTATTTACATTGCCAAGGCCACTTACATCATAAAAAATAATTTTAGTTTTGTTACTCAGCGGAGTTGAGTTGCTTTAACTTTCGTGGCACACTTTTTTGAGTCGTAACTCAGGTGAGTAAAAAACTTAGAGTTAAACTCAGATTTGAGTTGAGTAAAATAAAATGTTCGTGGCCCCGGGGCCTGGTGTTTTGGTCCTGCCTCATCTGGTCCCAATATGCTAGTTGACGTGACTAAGTCGTGTCAATATTTAAATGAGGTCAAGGACACAGTCGCAGCCGGATTCCAATGGGCAACAGAAGAAGTATGTGCTCATTAGTACACAAATTGGTGACAATTTTTAAATAAAACTGGTCATATGCAAATGATTTTAACATGAATTTCATTTTACAGGGTGTTCTCTGTGAAGAATCCATGCGAGGAGTGAAGTTTAATTTGGAAGACCTTAGTGCGCATTCTGACCCAGCCCACCGGAAGGGAGCACAAATGATTCCATCAACTAGACGATGTTTGTTTGCTTCTTTCCTGACAGCCCAGCCAAGAATTCTAGAACCTGTTTATCTGGTAGATATTGAGGTTCCGCCGTCAGTGATGGGAGGAGTTTTCAATGTGCTGTCAAAGCAACGTGGTCTCATGATCGAAGAACAACAGAAGATTTGGTCTCCAATGTACAGCATAAAAGCCCATCTACCTGTCAACGAATCTTTAGGTAAGCTCTATTTCCAATGTTTCTTTGTAAAGTTTTTCGAATTTCAACAAAAGATTTTATTTCATTTGGTGGTCAGTTGAACTTTTATTAACAGTATCAGCCCCCCATCCAACCACTAAAGACTGCCGTCACATTGTGTTTTGTTCGATTTTTGTATTTTGTTTAGAAGTTCTGTATAGTAAAGATTAATGTTTTTGAAGGTTTCGCTGAGGAGTTGAGAGGACAAACAGGCGGACAAGCTTTCCCCCAATGCGTCTTTGATCATTGGCAACTTCTATCGGGTGACCCTCTGGAGCAGACGTCACGAGCCGGAACTGTCGTAGCCGACATCAGACAGCGGAAAGGTCTCAATCCCGTCATACCCAAACTTGACAACTTCCTGGATAAACTCTAAAAAGCAAACATATTAATGAAGCTGAAGTTCTTTGTAAAATTAAAGGATGTCCAGAATGAAATACCAAAATTTCTTAACATCAAACTATTGTGAAAAAGAAAGGAAAAATAAAAGACACTGATGCGAATGACAAATAATATATTTTTCTCTTCTTTATCCCTTTGAAGAAAAACAACATATATTCAACACAAAGAGGAAGTACATAAACTTAAAATTACTGCAGTTTTTTTTTTGAGAAACATATTCAACGGCAACGTTGACTATCAATGTTTTTATCATATCATATACACATGATATTCATATATTATAGGTAGATAATACATTACCCGCAAATAACTTTATCAGACTAAAGTTAAAGAAACTTGAGAATAGTTAAAAAAAATCATACGAAGTGCACAATTAAAGCTTCAAAATAGTAAAAGCACCACAATAGAATGTTTTTTTTCAAAGATTTACATTTTTTTTGTGAAATATAGTGAAAAAAAACAAGCAAAGTACACGATTAAAGGTTCAAAATAGTAGAAGAACTATACTTGAGTACAATTTTCACAGATTTTGTATGTGAAATTTAAATACCAGAGATGAAAGAGGAATGATGTCAATTAAAATTCGATATTTCGAACAAATGCTTGCAACTTAGGAATCTGATAAAATTAATTCTTTTCCTTGAAATGAAAGGTTTTTCAAAGCATGGTAACCTTGTAAAAATGCAGTGATTTTAGAGGAAAAAGAAAGACTGTTCAAAGTTTTGAAGTGACGTTAAATGATTTTGAGTAAGCAAGGTGCAACATTTTCAATTTCTTTAATTTTTTAAATCTCGATAAGATAGCTAGTCCAGTCTATTTAATAAGCGGTTTGAAACATAGAGCATGTATTGAAATGTGTAAACACTATGATACAAAAGAACAAGACCTTCATCAAGAATGGTTTTATTTACTTTGTATTGTGTGCAGGTTTTGTTTGTTTGTATGTTGTTTAACGTCCATCTCGAGAATTTTTCACTCATATGGAGACGCCACCACTTGCCGGTGGAGAGCTGCAAATTTTGTCCTATACTCGGCACTTAAGGCCATTGAGCAGTGAGGGATCTTTTTTGCCAGCACTTACTGCGACACGGGACCTCGGTTTATACAGTCTCATCCGAAGGACCAGTCTCCACGTCCCACAGTGGGATTCGACTCCTTACTCCGCGACTCTAGAGCAGACGCTCTTACCACTGCGCCACGCGGGCGACTTGTGTGCATGTAAATTAGATATAATGTAAAATCACATAAAATATGATATAATGTAAAATCACATATTTTTTACCCCCGCGAAAATATGTGATTTTACATTATATCATATTTTACATGCACACACGCGGGCGACTTGTGTGCAGGTAAAATATAATATAATGTAAAATCACATATTTTAGCGGGGGTCAAATTTTTGTGGTTGCAGGAAAAAATATGGGTTTGCGGAGAGGAGGTGATTTCGTGGGTGAAGAATTATTGAGTAGTAAGAAATTCGAAAAATATGTTGGACATAAATTCGTTGGTCTCTTCATACATCGAAAAGGTATGAAATGTATATGAAGTAAACCACACACACACACACACACCCTCACCCACACACACCCACACACACACCCACACACACACACACACACACCCTCACACACACACACACACACACACACACACACACACACACACACACATATATATACAAGTAATTTATTTTGGCAATTTTACAAAATGTTCTATTAAGAGAAGACTTTCTAAGTTTTTGAACTTGTGTCTAATCCTTTTGACTCTTTGTCAATAAAATATGTTCAATTCAACCTCGAAAACAACAAAAAGTGATTTCACAGTAGGTAGAAAAAAAAAATAAAATGGATATTAAAATTCTCCTTTCAAAATAGAATGAATGTTGCTCCAAAAAAATTTTCTTTCTGGATTATCCTTCGGATACTTAAATATGTATGATTTTTTTTCTCCATCATGTCACGAAGGTGTAGTGTTCGTCAGGATTAGATATGGCCTTGTAAAGATGAAAAAACATTTCCTCTCTTTCTCTTTGGTAGAAGCTTTCTATTTTCGCCATTCTTAATTCAAATATACACCAGTATAATTTTACAAATTGGCCGAGAGCTGTGTGCCGACTTTGATCGCTGTTAACATATTTTCTGCGATGTCATATACGAATTACCAGACGTGAAGACACAATTTCATACCCCATTTCTTTTATTTCTCTCGCTTTGAAAAAAATAGTATCCGAAATTCCAAATATATGCATTTCTTACCTTTAGGCCTAGGGCATCTAATGACATTGAAGGAGTTTAATTGTGATGGAAATCAAGCATTTCTATAAGTCGTGATCTTTCTGTAAGGAGTCTATCGCATTTCAAGTTATAAAACTGAAATTCAGTCAACCATTATGATCTTCTTATAATTACAGAATTTTGTCAAAAAGCTTATTATTTACACACACACACAAGATGGTCATTCTGAATTGTGACAGTTACTGCTTTTATATCAGCCAATTCCTTGCTTCTTGCACCAGAAGATAACAGTTACACAGAAGATAACAGTTACACAGAAGAAACGAAAGTAAATGTAACTTTTTGTAATGATTAGTTCACCACTACTTTCGAGTAAGGAAAGGGCACGCAACAAATCATACCCTTCACCTGCAGGTTTAAAGTTTTGCCGGATTAAAATATATAAACATGCTTTTTGTAAATGAACACATAATTATGAAATTTAAAATACCCATGTTATTTTAATTTCAATTTGGCACATTTATTTTAAATGAAAATTGCCAGAAGTGTAAAAATATTGTACAACAACATCATCCTAGCATCCAAACGTGCTTTATTTATATAAAATTGAAAATTAAATTAATTAATTAAAAAAAGGTTACATTTTCTCATCATATTTGTTAGAAAAATTATGGATACTCATTTGAAATCATTAAAGTAAAAATTAAGTTTTAAGATTTTATGATATAACCGAGATATTCTTGGAAAAAATCGTGATAAATCGCGATTCGAATTTTTTGCCGATACTCATCCCTATTGTAGTGATTTGATTTTAACATATTTTATTGCAACATACATATTTAAAAATATTGGAAACAAGTTCTATCAACTTAGTAAATTTCTTTCTTTAATATATACAAAGAATACAATGATTAATTTACAAATTACAATAATATCGGCAAAAATAAAGATATACATGTTATATCAGTAAGATATCTCAAGGATACTTGCCATCAAATGCAATCTATCGTTAAGTCGAATGCTGACTGACGTTTTTCATACTAACTAGTAATTAGTAGGCCATTATGTCTACGGATATTTCCGTTTTCACGATCATGACAAAGAGCACACGGCGTGTGTGACCGGTCGACGGGGGATGCTTACTCCTCCATGGTACCTGGTCCCACTTCTGATGTTTTTTGAGGTCGTGTTTGCTCTGCTCCTGATCTGGACTTTTGAGCTTGATTACAGTTCGTTATCTCCATATTTCCTTATGAATTTCAAATCTTTAGAATCCCAAATGTAATATATATTTAATGGTTAAAATGTATGTCAAAATGTTAAAATTACTGGGGGTATATATATTATTAGCGAACGCAGCGAGCGGCGCCGCTCGTCACTGCGAGCTCTAACGATAACGCCTGGGCGAAGAGAAAATTCGGACTACTGCACATTCATTCAATAGAATTTTTTTCCGCAGTAATTCTGGACCCACAATGCATCGCTTCTTGTTCTCGCTGCTAACTTCGTTCGCGCGGTAACAACAACTAAAAATTCACAAAAAATAAACTCGCCTTAATTTAATGGATATTGCATACAGATAGTAGATTAAACGTTCTTTGTTAAAATCATTGCACTTTTTAAACTTTGTTTATGGAAATGCAGCTAACATACGACGTCATGTGACGCCACAGTCTAGACGTTCCAAATGTCTCGTGCGGTTTGAAGAGGCGGATCTTAATGAATGAAGTGAACAATGCGCTCGCCCCAACGGTCGCACCGTCAACATATTAGAATTAAAAGTGATAAAAACTTAATTATGTTCTTGGGCATAGATCATTCCAACTGACAGTCTATGGCATGGGTCTACAAGGGTGTATTTCCGCTTCTACAAGACAAAGCCCGGGCTGTCCTCATGAGAGGCAGTGTAATGAGCCCAGTGGGAGAGGTTCCGTGTCAAAATGTAGATCTTGACGATAAGCAGTCTTGATCAAGTCTCTTAAAGTAACAAAGAATGTGAAAGTTTACACCATGGATTACATGTAACGAGTATGTTAATCACAGATTATGAACATTAAGGTTTTTTTTGCTCTAGTTGATTGAAATTCCTGTTTGTCCTTTGATCGGAGTTGCCTTGGAATGCGCTTACCCCTCTATTAAGGAGGCTGGGGGGTCAACAAATTAACCACAAATTGATCACCAGATTTAACTTAATTTTTTAGATATGATATCTTAAGCTGTCAACTATCATTTGGCAAAGAAAAATTTCAAAAATTTTAGTTTTAAAATTTGATCATTTTCTATATCTTCATATGGAGCTCTTCTTCTAAAGGAGATCAATATAGTCTAAAAATGGCCACAACCCCCCAGCCTCTTTAACTATTCCCGTGATTTAGCTCAAGCAATTGGCAAAGTGAAATATGAAAATTAGCAACAGTATTCACGCTCAGAGTCTGAGAAGAGCAAACACAGACCTCTGAAAACATCAGAGGTTGGAAATGGTGCCATTAATAAGTAATATAAGCTTTCCCTATCGACCTGTTACACCAGCCGTTAGCCCTTCTTCTTGATCACATAAACGAAGTAATCCGCAGAGAATAATGACCTAACAGTCTGTATTTAATACATCAGTCAACATTCAACCAAACAACAGGTTGTAATTACAAACAAATTCATTGCATCAATCATAGAATTTGTGCATTGTTGACTTAAACAAGATTTTTGTTACCGTACTTTGAAACATCAATTTATTTCTCAATGGGCTGCCTTGATTTACAAATTACAGATTATGCTCTTGCGTATCGAATTAACAATTATTTCGGTTTTGAATGTAATTGACTATAAATGAATGCCTACATTGTTTTAAAAAGTAATTCATTAAATTAACAATTACATAAATATTATTTTTGATAAAACACGAAGATAACGAGCTGTAATCAAGCTCAAAATGCAATTCGGGAGCAGCGCAAACACGGAACTCTTAAAACATCAGAGTTGGGATCAGGTAAATGAAAATATCGTGAAAAACACTTTCAAGATTGAAGAAATGATAACACATACAGTACTATATAGATGGATTTATTTTAAATATATATAGCTATAGTTTGTAAAGTTGAAAACATTTTTTAAAAATGTAAATCAGAAAGTAATCGAAAACTTTATCCAGATGACTGACATTTTTCTCTGAGTAATCTCAATTAATTTAAATTACATTAATCAAGTTTGTAGGTGATTTACGATTTCTTCTTATTCTATGAACAATTGTAATCTACATTGTGATTACAATTACAATTATCCCATGTCAGAGATAGATTGTTAATTTTGCTTTAATGTCTTTCTCAAGTAAAACACCCAAATATAAAATACATGTGTCAGATCCTGTTGTGTTTTTTATTTCATGTTCAGCGGTATATATCAAAATATGAATGAAAATGAATATTGTTTTAACTGGTAAAATGAATTAAATGATATATCTAATCAATATATAAATGTCAAATGTAGCAGATTCTGAATAAATTCTGCTTCATAAGAATAAGTCCACAGGTAAAGGTAAGTTAATTCTATATTTTCCTTCTCTATTCAAATTTTGTGCAAGAAACATGATCCCATTATCACCAAATAAAAAAAAAGAAAAAAAAGAAAAGAAAAGAAAATGAATTCGTTTCATAAAAGTAAAATTTGTGTATGAAATATTGGAAATAAACATTGATATATTTATATCGCTGTGAATCCTCTATCACGGAGCTTGCCAGCAGAAGCTGATTAAGTAAGTTTATGTATTAACTCAAAGGATTTCTAATCAACTTCACTCCAAATCTGTGTTATTCCAATGGACGTTTGACCTTGATTACTTTCATTATCTTCAAATTTCATCCATTCCATTGGAATTTACCATTAGATCTTTAATCATGTTATTGATCAGTAGACATGCAACATATCAGAATAATTCCCCCCAAAATGCATTTGCTTTTTATGTTTTATGTGGGGTTTTGTCCATAGAAAAATATATCAAAAATATATCTGGAATTTTAGGCCACTTCAACTGGACTACCATCGATAAAATAACATATGACGTTTTCATTTCTGCTATATATTTTTGCTGTCAATAACTAATAATAACTAAGATAACTAATCATTAAATTGAACACAGCCCATATGAGCAAAGGGTTTGAAATTGTGAGCATTGTGTAGTTGAACGAGTTAAACATCTGTATGACAGAATGGAATACGATCTTTACAAGTAATGTTATTTTTTAAAGGTATATGCAAGTCAATTAAAGAATGAGGTTAAACTATCAGACTGATGTTACAATATCTCCGGATCCATTCAAAGTAGAATGGATGTTGCTTCAAAAATCTTTTTCCTCTGGATCATCCTTTGGATACTCAATGTAAGATTTTTTATCCATCAATTCACGAAGATGTAGCGGTATTTGGGGATGAGATAAAACCTTGTAAAGAACAATAATGCTAGTTTTTAATTTTATATGCAAGTCAACAACAACAACAAAATAAAAATAAATAAATAAATTAAAAAAAATGAAAAAAGGTAAAACTATCAGACTGATGTTACAGTATCTCCGGATCCATTCAAAGTAGAATGGATGTTGCTCCAAAAATCTTTTTCCTCTGGATCATCCTTTGGATACTCAATGTAAGATTTTTTATCCATCAATTCACGAAGATGTAGCGGTATTTGGGGATGAGATAAAACTTTGTAAAGAACGACAAACAACATCTCTTCTCCTGCTCTTTCATAGAAACTTTCCATTTGCGCCATTCTTAATTCAAACATACACCAATACGATTTTACAAATTCTGGCGAGAGCACGAACACAGTGTATCGACTTTGATTAATTGCGGTAGATATATTTTCTGCGATATCATATCCAGGAACAAAGTCCCGGAAGTGAAGACATAACTTTAGGTTCCCTTTACTCTCTAGCATTGGTAACATTTTACTTATCACAAAATCTCTGTCCTCATCAGCATGAGAAATGAAAGCATCATATTTGTACATTGTATGATTCTTGAGTGATTTATACCCGTGAAATTTACTTTTGGTCATGCAATAAAAATATCGAACCTTCCATCGGTATCGGTAGATGATTCGTGAAAAGAGCAGAACAAGAAACAAGATTATCAATACCAAAATTCCTGCTGCTAACTCAGAATATGGTCCACATCGCATACCTAATTCAATCAGGATTTTTCTGTCATTGAACGAGAAAATTCTTTTATCCTCTGTGGAGCAATTGTAGCTTTCAAATGACATAAAGCTGATGTTCTTCTTTTGTTTTTGAAACATCCACTTAATGAACGCTTTTGTTTCACAGTTACAAAGTAAAGGATTATTACGTAGATCTAATAACAGCGGAAAATCTCTCCGATTTGCTATTTCATCCAAGGCATTTCTTGTTGATCCTAATAGCGATGATAATCGATTATATGATACGTTTAAAACTTTTAAGCTCTTCATATGGTTGAATTTGAATGCAATATGATCCATTAAATTAAAATAAGGTCAAATGTCGAAATTTAAGAGAGAGATTGGAAGACGTTTTTAGAAAGAGACACAACTTCATTATTGCTTAAGTCCAGATGTGTCAAATTTGTTAATTTCTTTAGAATCTTACCATCTACATCTTTAGCTAGAGAATTACCTAGTTTATTATTGGATAGTTGAAGATCTTCAATAGAATTCCAAAAATCAAAGAAAAAATTTGAGACAAATTTGCAATTATTTTTGGATAAGTTTAAAATCTTTAATTTCGTTAATCCAATGATTGGACCTATCAACTTAGACAACTGATTTCCATGCAATGAAAGGCTTTCTAAGGTATTTTCTAAAAATATAACTTTTGGGACATCATATCCCAATGAACCATGGACCAAATACATAATTCTTAGCTTTGGTGGTAGTGGTTAAAATAATGGAAACCGTGAATTTTCCCTGAGTTTTTTCGGAGAGTTTGGAACAAAACCAACACTTCTTTTGGTAATTTTGTAACTTTTCACTGATAAAGGCACATCATCTTTGCAATTTAAATCAGTGATGAAATTACCGCCAATCAAGTCATGGGAAGAGAATGATTGGCTAACATTTAACCATATAAGGTTTCTCAGTGCATTAAACTGGAAGATGTATATGCCTTGTGTGAGGCGATTGTCAGCTAATGAGAGGGCGTTTAGTCGCCGGAAAATCCATGTAACATTGGACTCCAACAGCTCGATTTTATTGCTATCCAAATATAATTCTGTTAGCGATGTATTCTGTAGATACCAAACATCGTCTAACGTGATTTTTGTTCCCATTCCAAAAATGCAGTGTATTTGTTTAACTCTCAAAATATCTATTGATGTGAATTGTAAATCAAAAGTAAGGTTTTTAAGATTTCTAAAAGTAAATTCCTTATTATATGACAAATCTAGTTCTTTTAGATACAACAATCCAGAAAATGCTTTTAATTGCGAGGATTTTATTTCACAATGGGTCATATGTAATGTTCTTAAATGATTCAAATGTTTGAAATAATCTTTTTCAATTGTTTTGATTTGACAGTGTCCACCATTGTTACCCGAAATATCCAAATAATGGAGGTATTTTAGATGGGAAAAACTGTTTCCGAATCTGCTATTAGGAAGTCCATTGATAAAGAGATGGCTCAACTGAGAGAGTAATGAGAGACTTTTAGGATATATCTCACTATTGGGATATTCCGAGTTTTCTACCTTTATGTTAAGAACTTTTAAATTGTGTAAGGGTTCGAAAACTGAAGGAGGAAATGTTTCATCGTTTAATTTGAACTTGTTATTAGAAATATTAAGCGTTCTGAGCATTGTCAAATTCTCAAAAGGGTTATTGTGAAAACTCTGCATGTCATTGTATGACAAATCTAAATATATTAGCGATTTCAGATACGATAGGTTTGGACAGTTAGTTATATTATTGTAGCTTGCATCTATTTGATTCACTGTGTGTGAGAATTTAGGAAGAACTTTCAATCTTTTTCCAGAACAATCTGCTTTTAGGCTACCTTGAAGATCTATGCAACGACATCTGTGGTCTTCAGAGCATAGAGTTGAGTTCATTTGTGTTCCTCTCAAGATGATAGAAATCAATAAAAAGGTAATTTTTCCCCACATTCTCTGAGCTTAAAAACAAAAGATAATATAAATTAAGTTGTGGTATAAGCAAAATTTAAAGAAGTCAAAATCCAATAAAACAGTTGGAAGTAGTATTTGTCTGTATATCGTTAAAAAAAATCAAATGACTTTTCAATTTAAACATTTATGATATCTTTCTTTCAACAAAACTAACAGCTTTACTGAAAGGTGTAATGTAATCTGTGTATTTTAAGTTACAAAATAGATTATTAAAAAGTTTATTATACACACTGAGAAAGATAATCACATGAATTGTTCATGTCTTTTCTGGTTAATTTTATATGCAGTGAATATTTTACAAACTAAAATCTATCATACAAGCCCGAGCAAATGGGTGTGGGTGTGGGAGGTGGGGCGTATCCATTAAGTTCACCTCTCTATAGACAAGATAATTTATGTGGTCACTTCTGTAATGAAATTTGCTTCATTAATCCGGACGGCGACTTTTTAAAAGTCAGTTGACTTGATGGACCAGTTTTTAAATTTCTTCTAAATGTGGCATATGTTATGATAAGTGAACTGTTTATAGACTTGCTGGTATGCTATCGAAAATGTCCTACAATAGTCCAGTTAGTAAATACAACCTGTGATTGGGTCGTATTTTGTCTGATTAGTTTCATACCAATTGTGAGGCCGTTGTCAATATGCTAAATTTGACTACGGAATTTTCCGTCTACCTGATCAATACATAAGGTTCACAGTGGGTGTGTAACTGGTCGACAGGGGATGCTTAATTTTCTTCGCACCCGATCCCACATCTGGAATTATATTAAATGCCTTATTCACAGATCTGTTTGTAGATTTGTTGTAGATTTGTTGAGATCAATCACTGTTCCTTATTTTTCTCTTTTTTTCCTTCCTTATATGCCACTTATAAAGATGTGCAAACTTAAATATAGGGTCCTGGTTCTAACGATATCATAGAAGCTCTCTTAGGACTGTGGTAAGTACATGTAGGATAGACTTAAGAGATTCTCAGTTTAATTATTTACAGACTATGTCTATATCTCAAATAAACAATAATATTAGGACATAATTTTCATGATTTGCGAAATTTAATAAAGATGTGTATTTTGATTACCAAATTTCACTTTGGGATCGGGAGGCCCAGGTTCGATTCTAGTTCGCCGCGCCGCGTCAAAACCTAAGACGTAAAGACAGATAGTGATTGTTTCTTCGCCAAGCGCCCGGCATCAGAAGTGAAAGTCAGGGCTCTTTCGGATGAGACCTTAAAAACCGAGGCCCCGTGTCATGGTAGGAGTTCACACGATAAAGAACCCTCACTGCTTAATGGCCCTGAGTGCCGAGCATAGGTCTAAATTTGAAGCTCTTCACCGGTATATGGTGACATCTCTATTTGTGTGAAAGATTCTCGAATGGGACTTAAAACAACAACAACAAAAATCAATCAATCCTATTACCAACATTACTTACACTTAAGTGCGTGGTAGTTTACTTGATTACTATACTTGATAGTTTATATTTTACTCCAACTCAACATTTTATTCATTCTTTTTTCATCAAAAACTATTTTTGATAATCAATTGATTAACACTAACCACTTTTCAGCTATTACATGTAAATCCGGTTTTATACAATCATCTGTAGGAGAGATTTCTTTAGTAAAAGGAGTAAGCTTCCCATGTTGACCAGTCAAACTAGTCGCAAGCCCTTTTTACTGATCAGGTAGACGGAATATTCCGTAGTCAAATTTAATATAAAAAAGGCCTAACAATTGGTACGAAAAACTTCAGGCAAAATAGGGCCCAGTGATAGCTCATATTTGCTAAAAGGTTATTACAATGACCATAATGAATGGAATGGAAAAAGCTATTGTTAATTGATAAAACTTCGTCAATATATCGAGTTGAAGGTCACAGTAACTGTTTTCTTTTTCTCAAGCAGAAGTTTGTGATGAAATATGGAGATAACGAACAGTATTCAAGCCCAAAAGTCCATTAAACAATACAAATTTTGAAGCAGAGAAAACACGGACCTCTAAAACATCAGAGGTGGGATCAGGTGCCATGAGAGAGTAAGCATCCCCTGTCGAACCGGTCACACCCGCCGTGTGCTCCTTGTCATGATCGGGAAATAACGGAAAAATCCGTCGACAATTCAGTGTGTAAATGATGACCTAAATATATTTGTATGAAAAACGTCTGTCAGCATTCGACTTAATGATAGATTGTATTTGCTGACAAGATCATTGTATCGACCAAAAAATTGCAAATGGTGGCTTAAAACGAGACTGTTGATATCCTTGTTTCATCATCGTGTTTGTCAATAGCTTGCCTCGTTTTAGAAAGTGTTCGTACATAGAGCATACTATTGCATATCACATTAACTGGGAGATATAAACACCATATATAGGTGATAAGGGTATATTGCTACATAAGGTAAGGGAAGTTGACATAGAAAAGTTGAAGTCATCACGTTTATCTTGATTTGTTGTTTGGTTACCATTAACATCTTTTTCTGCATGTAGTAAAATATCCTAAATATACAATAGATGCGTCAGACTCTGTGGTATCTTTAATTTCAAGTTCACTGGGATATATAGAGTGGACATATGAATGGAGGTAACTATTGTTAATTGATAATACGTCGTCGATATATCTAAATGTCGAGTTGAAGACCACAACAAGTGTCTTCATCTCATGTAGAAGTTTTTGAATAAATTCTGCTTCATATGAATACATAAATAGATCTGCTAAAAAAGGGGCGCACTTAATACGCATATAAATAAATTATATTTCATAGGAATATAAAACAGGATGTCTAATTTTTCTTGACACCGGTTCCATCGAGTCCGGATAAAGAGTTGTTTAGATACAACATGGAACACCACTG